CTGGGAGGATTTTTACTCCAGCTCTGCCAGAGCTGCGTTTTCTCACCACTCCTCGGGCTGCACGGAAAGATCCGTCAGCACCCCAAACTCGTGTTGGGGGTAAAGCTCTGCCTCTCCCCAGCGCCTGGAGAAGCCGCTGCCAAGTTTTTAAAAGGGTGTTTGTGGTTTCTCCAGAGGGTTTGCATCGGGATAAAGCACGCACACGGGAGGTTTTTTTTGGAAAGCCTGGTCCTGGCGCTGCCTTCCCAGTGCAAGCTGGAGATGCTGTGCCCTGTCCTGCTGGGATTGCAGCCCATCTCCCGGGCCAGATGTGGCAGAGCTGGGGGGAAATTCGGCAGGTGATGGTCACATTCTGCAGGGTGATGGGGTTTTTGGAGATTTTGCCCAGAGAAGCTGTGGCTGCCCCATCCTTGGAAGGGTCCAAGGCCAGGTTGGACTAGTGGAAGGCATCCCTGCCATGGTGTAGGGGGTGGAATGAGATGATCCTTAGGGTCCTTCTCAGCCCAAACCATCCTGTGATTCTATGAAATAACAATGTACTTGGATTTCCTTGAGTGTCCTTGGCAGGCTGGGCAGAGGGAACAAGTAGGGAGGTGGCTGCTTTTCAGGGACTCTTCATTATCAGCATGGCAGCTTGAGGAGGGTGGTTTTTCTTTGGCGTGATTTAACATTTTCTTCTGCCTTTTGGCTTTTGCTCCACTGTCTACGAATTTTTCTGCAAAAATCTCCACATACCAGGACGCTGTGGTGATAGCAGTGAAGAGCAGCACCATCTCACACAGTCATTAAAAATGCATAAGTAGTTTCAGAAGCAAGTTGCTCCCTCCGAGAAGCAAATCGTCCATAATTCTGCTTGGTATTTAGAGACTTTTATCTCCAGAGAGAACGCAAAACTCTTCAGGATAGCCCTGATTTATTTTATTCTCTTGAATTTTCCGAGCTAGAGATGAAAAAAGGGGCTTAACAGAGAAAGAATTCTGTACTCGTGCTGCAAAGAGGGCAGCCAGGGGTCAGCTCATGATCCACCAGCTCCTCAGCAATGCACCCACCACCCTCAAGGACCCAGCAAACTCTTTTCCAAGCATCCCACTCCTTCTGGGGGTAGCAGATTGAGAGTGCTCCATAAACAGCTGTCCATCAACCAGGCTATCATAGCATGCTGTCAGTACAGTAAAGAGGAGCCATTACAGCAGGAGCTGTAAATGTACAGGCTGTGACATGTTCTTGGTGGGAACTTCAGCAGAGGAAGTTGCTTTGATTTATTTTCAGCCAACTGTGCCGAGGATGAGTTTGGGATAAGTCATCTTCACATGCACAAGGCTTAGTGCAGCAAGTTGCTATATATCCTTGCCTCTTAAGTGTTTTCTTGGCTTCCTTCTCTGAAGGACAGTTATCTTCCCTCTCTCTCTGTGCAGAATTTTGGGCTGCACTGGAGTCAATACCCAAAGTTGTACCTCTGAGTCCCTGGTGCACCTGGGCAGGAGGGATGTTTTATGGCTTCTCCTGGGGAGGTGAGAGGCACCCAGACGTGCACCTTGCAGCTGTAAGGATGCAAAAGCTGCTGGGAAGGTGAGCAAGGCAAAAATCACTTTATAGTGAAGGGTTTGAACTGCGTTTTGTGTCTGAATTTAGAGAGGAGGAGGCAGGTGAAATGTGGGGACTGGGCAGGTGAAGGAACACCTTCAAGAGCAGAAGCCTTGCTGCTGGGCTAGGAGGGAAAAATCCCCTCTCTCCTTTTCCTCTTATCCTAAATCTTGACTGCCTGCACTGGAATCCCAGTTGCAGCTACAGTTCCTTGGTGCACCTGGGCAGGAGGGATGTTTTATGGCTTCTCCTGGGGAGGTGAGAGGCACCCAGACGTGCACCTTGCAGCTGCAAGGATGCAAAAGCTGCTTGGGAAGGTGAGCAAGGCAAAAATTACTTTACAGTGATCTGTGTTTACCACCCTTTCATGCCTGAATTTAGAGAGGAGGAGGCAGGTGAAATGTGGGGACTGGGCAGGTGAAGGAACACCTTCAAGAGCAGAAGCCTTGCTGCTGGGCTAGGAGGGAAAAAATCCTCTCTCCCCTTCCCCTCTCATCCCAAATCTTGGATCCCAGCCTCTGTCCCCGCTGCTCAGCAGTGCAGGTGTGGTGTGATGGGGGAGCACCCTGGTGTTGCACTCCCCAGGTATTTTCCAAGCCCCTCCATCAGCCAGATGGTCCGTGGGCACTGCTCGTAGGAGCCTGCGTGGTTCTGCTGTCTGGCAAAGCCCAAGGTGTGTTTCTCTCACTCCCAGCTGTTCCCAGGGCTCGTGCTCAAACATCCAAGTGCTGGGAAGCCGTTTGGAGCAGTGGGGAATGCGTTAGGTGGAGGCAGCATCCCCCTGTGCTCCATGTTCTAGGTAATTACAGCCCTGCTGCTCGTGGAGCAGAGCCCAGCAGGTGCCCTGTATTTATTATTTAGCTTTCTGTTAACTCTGAGCTGGTGGTGCACAGGCAGCTGCTGCTTCCCTGGAAACCTCTGCATTCAGCTCCTCACCAAACCCGGCTGCAAACAGGACAGGGGGCCTTGGGGTCTGTCCCTCAGAGCTGGAAGTCACAGGACCTTTTCCCAGACCTTGTGCAGTTCGTCTTTGCGGAGTCTAAAATGAGAACCACTCGTTTTGGGTTGGTGATTCACGGAGTCACAGAATCACTGAGGCTGGAAAAGCCCTCCAGGATCATCCAATCCCCCCTGGGACCCATCCCCACCTTGTACCCCAGCCCAGGGCACTGAGTGCCACGTCCAGGCATTCATTGGACACCTCCAGGGGTGGGGAATCCAAACCTCCCTGGGCAGCCCCTTCCAGCACTTGAAAACCCTTTCCATGAGGAAATTCCTCCTGATGTCCAACCTGAGGCTGGAGGCTTTTCCCTCTCCTGTCCCTTGTTCCCTGGGAGCAGAGCCCGACCCCCCCGGCTCCCCCCTCCTGTCAGGGGGTTGCAGAGCCAGAAGGTCCCCCCTGAGCCTCCTTTTCTCCAGGCTGAGCCCCCCCAGCTCCCTCAGCCCCTCCTGCTGCTCCAGCCCCTTCCCAGCTCCCTTCCCTTCCCTGGACACGCTCCAGCCCTTCCACGTCCTCCTTGAAGTGATTCCACAGGGCTTTGGCAGAGAATGATGGGGATGTGAACTCCAGCATCCTCCTCAAACGGCAGGCAGGCATTTCCCTGCAGTTCTCTGGGAACTGTGGGGTTTGTGCCTGCCTTTCCCCACCCTAGGGGAACAGGACAGGTCTGAGGTCCTGTACCAGATGTTTTGCCAGTTGAGCTGCCACGAGCACCAATTCCCCAGCCAGGAATTCACACTTCCACTGGTGTGAGTAAATCTGACCTGATCCTGCTGTTTTTTCCTCAGTGTCTTGGAAAGTTTTAAAATAACTGCTTCAAAGTGCTCAAATGATATGTTGCTCCACAATCTGTCTCTGCCGCTGCCAACGCTTCCAAGGAACCAATTTCCCGTGTGCTTAACCTTTTAGGGCTTTTCCTCCTCAGGAATTACTCTGTAACTCCCACTTAAAAAAAAAAAAAAAAAAAAGAAAAAGGAGAAAATTGCCATTGCCCTTCTCAGGGGTGGTTGATGATTTCCAGGCGGTTTGGAGGAGTTTCTGCTTTTTAAAAGTGGGTTGAGCACACTGAAATCAGGATGCCCTTCCAGTGTGCAGCTGACATTTGAGCATGGATCCCTCAATTTCCTGGAACAGAGAGGATTGGGATGCAGAAGGCAGCGCTGCTGGTGGGAGCTTCCCAAGGGAAACGTGATCCAGAAAATGATCAAACCCCAAGGAGTGGAGGTGTCCCAGTGCTCCCTGTATTGTCTTTATTTCTGTGGCCATGTCTCAGTGTTTCCTGTCTGTAAAAAGGGATAGTCCCTATGGAGACTGCTGAGATAAGCTGGAGGAAGTCTAAATGTAATCTAAAAATAGATTAATTGAAAAATTGCAAGTAAAAAGCTACATCTTTTTTTTTCGGACAAAACTCCTGGTAACTTCAAAGGCAGATTAAAGACTTTGCCTGTGTCAGGACTTTAATATTTGGCCCAAGAATTAGACAAATGGAATAGTGTGAGAATGTTTGCCAGAAAATTGGAGAAGGGAGAGATAAGGTAACAGATGAAACACTCAAAGTCAGCATTTAAGGACATTGCTGCCTGTGGAGATAATTTTATCAACTCCAGAGACAACCATTTTTTCTACAAAGTAAAACTCAACCCTCCATGTAGCTGTTTAAAATGGAATATGTTACATTTTTGTTGAACTGTGCTGTGGGAGTCTGCTCTGGGACAGCCAGTGCCAATATCTGTGCTGGTGATAAATCTGTGGATTCTCTGCCTTCTGCTCTTCATTTTGATGGTGTTTTGACTTTGGAACTTAGACCTCTATATGGTGGGGTGGAAAAAAAGATGATCCTGATCTTGGTTTTGTGCTGAATCCTTTTGTTCCTAAAAAGGAGGGAAGGAGGGTGTGACTGTCATTGGGGCAGGAGCATTACCAAGAATTGATTTTTAGTTTGGTGAGGCCAAAGTGACTCTGTCTGTGCCTACACTCATTCCTCACATTATGTCTTGGTATGGAAATGTTTTGTCCCACCCTAAAACCAGAAGCCAGTTTTATATTTTGAGTTTCAGGCTGCTCTGAGTGGAAAAAAAAGGGGGAGGTGGGCGAGAATAGAAGTTAGAGATGTGACTCAATATTGATTTCCACTTGTTTTTGCTGAAATGCTAAAAATGCCAAGATGAAATATTTGGACTTTTCCTTGTGTTTCTTTTCAATTTCATTTATATTTTTGTTGTCGTTGCTGTTGTTAGAAGCTCTTTGCCCGGTTTGATTCCAATTCCTGAATAATTCATGGTCCGTAAAGAGCTTTGCTAAATAGATTCTTTGTCCCCAAGTGCTTGGCAAGCTGGGGGGGCAGTGCCACCCTTCTGTGAGGGGCTGCTGGGGGAGCAGAGGTGCTCACAGGGCCGTGTGTGTTGTGTCTCTGCAGAGTTATGTCATGCCCAGACCACCAAAGGGCTCCATGAGGATTTATGGAAGATGCCCCGTGTCTTGGCGCCTCTGGTGCTCCTTCTGCTGTGGCTGATGAGGATCTCTGCCAGCCCCCATTCCCTGAGGATTGGTGAGTACAGACCTTGCTCTGACTTGTGTTTCAATGCCATCCACTTTGTGTAGGAATTCTTGGAGCAGGGAATGCTGTGGAGGCTTCCCTGCCTCGGAGGGGTGCTCCCTGTTCAGGTGGGGTCGACTCGTTTGCTGAGCTCCCACCTGCATTTTGGAAATGTTCTCTCCTTCCACTTGCAAATGTCCCACCTGCATTTTTGGAAATGTTCTCTCCTTCCACTTGCAAATGTCCCACCTGCATTTTGGAAACGTTCTCTCCTCCCTGTTGTAAATGAAATTGGGTTTGTGGTGAGTTTATGCGCTTTAGCGTTGATTTTCGTGGTGTTAACGTTGCCTGATGGGAATCTCGTGTTGTATAAATTGAAGGCCGCTCCTCAAAGACACACTGAGGAATTCAGCTTGCCCCCTGTGCCGTGTCCTAACCCCCTAAGCTCCACATAAAATGAAACAGTTTTCTGTCACAAATGTATTTGTCCTCTGTTGATGAGCAAGGAGTTTTTTGAGCCCAAACTGCCCCCGGTTAAGCGATGCCACGAGGGCATTAAAAAACTCAGATTTCTCCATATGTAAGAAAATCCTGTGCATTTGGTCTGCTTTGGGTTGTATTAAACAGTCTTCAGGCAGAGGCACCATCATCTTCCCTCGCTGCCTGTGCAGGATTAGGAGACAGAAATGCATCCAGAAAGCTTGTAATGAAACTTGCCTCAAAGTATTGACACCTGGCTCTGTTGCTTAGAAGGGAAACTGCTTCTCCAGGCTGCTCTCTCTGGAGCTCCCAGCTGGCTTTATTAACTCTTTGCTGCAGATAAGAAGCAAATCTATTCCTGTCCCCCATTTGCACCTTTCACAGGTGACACCTGAAGTGAAATTACCTCTCCCCTCTGCTGGTGGAGCACGAAGCAGCTCAGAGATCTGGCAAGGGAGGAGTCTGTGCACTCAGGGGTTCTCCATGTGGACTTGTTGGGGGTTTGATGAGTGTTGTTTCTTCGAGACACAGTTTGGTTTTTACGGCGTCTCCAACAAAAAAGTTAATAAAAATAAAGCAGAAAATAAAAAGAGGGGGGGAAATATTACTGGCGGCCCTGAAATCATTCCCAAATGCATGCTTCTGGCAAGGCAGGGAGGTGTGGGGATCTAGCAACATAAATCAGGGCTCTGCACAGGAAAGGAAAAAACAGACCAGAATGAACATTTAAATAGTCAAAGAAAATGTAAGCTAATGTTTAAAACAATCCTCAAAGCCATCTGGTTGCTGAAGTGCACAGTTAGATGGTCAGTCATGGGAGGTGGACATGGGCAATGTCCTGGTGGCTTCTTCACCAGGAAGAAGAGATTTTTCCCTGCAGCACTTGCCTTCCAGGCAGGAGCAAACACAGCGGTGCTGAGTCAGGGGCACTTGGCTTGTGAACCAAGCCCTGAGCTTCCCTGCTGCTGCTTTTTGGGGTTTTGGGTGGATCTTGGCCCTGGAATTTCCCAGTGGAGTTCCTAGGCAGCAGATTGCCTCATCTTTGAGCACACGGTGAATTTTTGCTGGCCTGGATGGTGCCCACAGTGAGTGTTGCATTGCAGTGAGCTTTAGAGGCATCATCTGGGCAGGAAAAGGGAGCAGAGCACTGGCTACAGGGTGACCTTCCCTGTGCCTTTGGATGCATATAACGAGGCTGTCTTTACTTGATTTCTCTCCTTGACACACACAGGAAAAAAAACATCAGTGCAAACTGTTTTTTCAGCCTCTTTTCTGTGTGTTCCCTTCTGCTCCAGTCCTGCAGAAAGCCTCCTTGTTCTAGAGACCTCTGTGGGGGAAAAAACAGCTCTAAAAGCTTTATCCAAAATGGGGATGTTCTCCTAGGAGTGTCTTTTGTTTGTCACTCAGCTCACCTGGTCTTGTCTTGGTGAAGCATCATCTCCACAGATGCTCAGAAGTTGGTTGTGCTCAGGGTATGAGGAAGCAGGCAGGGATGAACATGTTCTGAGCAGTTTTAAGAGCTCCAGGAGGTGTGTAAGGAACTGCCTTGAGACATCCTGGAGCTCTGGAAAGAGCCTCCCAAAATATCTTAAGACCCCAGTAGTTTGTGCTTGCCCAAGGTGTGCCCTTGAACGTGTTGTGTTGCATCCAACCCCACCAAAAGCTGGAGAAAGGCATCTCCCCCAGCCCTGCTTTCCTGCAGCACACAATGCCTGTAGAATTAATCCTGGGTTTGTTTTCTGTTTGTTCACTCATGCTCAGTAAAGTGTCAGGAAATTTGCCTGAGTTATTTACTGAGTTATTTACTTGGTCTCGCAGAGCAGACAGTCAGGGCCCTAAATTGGCATTCTCTGGCTGGATTCATTGGGTGTGCTAACAGCTCATTTAAAATTCATATACAAGCCAAAGTTGTAGTTTATCCATGGCATTGCCCTAACTAGCAGCACTGACAGATGATCTACTGGCAAAATCCTTGCAAGGCCTCCTGTAGCTCTTTAAAGTGCTCCTGTCTGTAACTGGCTCTGTAAATCCCTTCCCTGCCTCTGCCTCCCAGCTTTGCGAACTTTATACAACAAGCAAGACACAGCTCTGGCATTAAGGGTATTTTTTGGGGTGAGACTTGCTGTTTTTCTACCCCATCCACTCCTGGCTCAGCTGGTGGACGCTGTCCCAGTGCTTTGGGGTTTCATCCACCAGAGAAGCAGTTTGTGGTCAAAGCCTCCATGAATCCAAACTGATGCTCAGGTGTCACTAGAAGTGCCAGCCTGGGACGTTTGTCCTTGTTTCTAGGCATGTTTCCAAAATTCTGGAATGCCAAAAGGGCTGTGAGTCTCCTGCATCTGCTCGTGGAACTGTGATCATGGAATGGTTTGGGTTGGAAGGGACCCGAAAGATCATCTCATTCCAACCCCCTGCCATGGGCAGGGACACCTTCCACTAGCCCAGGTTGCTCCAACCTGGCCTTGGACACTTCCAGGGATGGGGCAGCCACAGTTTCTCTGGGCAACCTGTGCCAGGGCCTGACCACCCTCCCAGGGAAGGATTTCTTCCCAATATCCCATCTGAATGTCCTCTCTGCCAGTGGGAAGCCATTCCCCCTTGTCCTGTCACTCCAGGTCCTCGTCAATAGTCCCTCTCCATCTTTCTTTTGTCTCCCTTCAGGCATTGCAAGGCTGCAATTAGATCACCCTGAAGCCTTCCCTTCCCCAGGCTGAACAATCCCAATTCTCTGAGCTTTTCATGTCAAGAAAAATGTTCTTGGGATCCCCCAGAGCATGTGGAGTTGTGGGAAAGCACTGGAATTTAGCTGTGCCTGCTGAAGTAGCTGGGAAGAGGCAGAGTGGAGACATTCTCTCCCTATTCCTCTGTCAGACACCTGGGTAGCAGAGTTTGTGTGGCCTTGAATCCCTGTTAAATTACCCTCTTGAGGTGCTTATGATACACTAAACCACTTTTTCTATGAAATAAGGGCCCCAGAGCTGCCCTGTCCTATGCAGTTTGTACACTGGCGTGTCTGAGCTGCAGGGCTGGAGCTTGGAGGGAGAAGCACTAAAAACGTGCGAGGCAAAAAATGAACGATAATGGCAACGACCAGAATCGTGGAGCGTTTAGTTCAGCTTCCCCAGCTCCCAGAGGATATCCATAATTCTCCTGCAGGCGCTGCAGGGAAGATCCCACAAGGCAGTGTGTGATTCTGTTATTCAGCATTAACATTTGAAAGGGTGATGGTGACACTGGGATGAGGTGCAGCCACAGTCCCCGGGATGCTGTGACAGGAAGGTGCTGCTGGGCAGCTACAAAAGCTTCCTCCCGAGGTGGGGGGAAGCAGAGCTGTGCCTTTTGCTGCGGGCAGGGAGAGCTGTGGCTTTGTGGCAGGTTGGCTTGTGTGACCCCCATCTCCCCACATCCCATTCCCAGCTGCCTGACACGGCTGGAAACTCCACTTCTCTCCTGCTGGAAGTGGGAGAAGCACATTTAACCCAGAGAGGCAAAGCACAAGCCCCCTTCCACGTGCAGTGCTGCTTTCTGCCTTATCCAAGCCCTTTGTGGATGCAGCTGGAATAAACTGCCCATGGATTTGCTGTTGCCCAGCAGGGAAATGGCCTCTCCCTGGCTTTGAACCCAGGAGGCTGCCGAGATCAGCTCGAAGCAGAGAAACCATCCCCGAGTCTCACATGGTGGTGCTGTTGCTGGAAAACCTTTCCTCTTGTAATGAGGATTAGTGCTGAGGAAAGCCAAGCTCTGGTTGGGGTGGGGTTTGTCAGAGCAGGGGTGTTGGGTGCTGCCTGGGTGTGGGGGCACAGTGATGAGCCCTCATCAGAAGGCAGCAAAGACCAGAGGGGTCTTTGTTTCCCAGAAAACAAGGCAGGGCACTGAGACATGTGTGATTATCTGGCTGCCCCGTGTGTGAACCTGTTTTTAAAGGATTAAAAATAAGCCTTAAAAAGAAACCATTGTGGGCTGCAGGGCCCCGTGCCCGAGGCTGTACCCACCTGAGGGGCAGCAGCACTCCTTGGATGTACATTTTCAAGTCCCTTTGTGTTTGGACTGTGATAATCACAGCCTGGCTAGAGGAGGAGGAGGATGCAGCTACTGGAATAAAATGTTAATATTTTTCCCCATATTGAAAAGACCCAGTTAAGTTCATTAAGGTGAAGCAGATTCACAGTTATTTCTCATTTGCTGCTGAGGAATGGTGACAGGCAGAGAAAAATACAATATTCATTTGCTGTTTGCCCTTTTAATTTTATTTTGATTATTCTGCTGGGAGAGTGATATCTTATTTATGGGTTTTGAGTTATGTGCATAAATCTTTATTTCTAAAAAAGCCACCCATATAGATGCCAGGTCCTTTCAGCAAAGCCTTGTCTAGACTTACAATGAATCACAGAATGGTTTGGGTCGGAAAGGACTTTACAGATCCTCTCTTTCCATGGGCAGAGATGCCACACTCACTAGATCAGGTTGCAGAGATGGGGCATCCCCAGCTTCTCTGGGCAAGTTTTACCCTTTGATTCTTTGCAGTTCTCCCA